GAGTCTGAATCCCTTCTCAGCAGTTTACGAGGGGAGCAGGTTTATCCTTTATGTGCAGTTTCCTCATTTGCATAAAGCTAGGGAAGTAATGCCACTCACCTAAAAGACCACGATGAGGATTGAGTTAACAGATTGTAAATACAACTGTGCTTGTCAAGTAGTATTCATAAATGTCAACCATTAGTTTGTTTTGAAATATTTCTCAAAGTATAATTATTAGCCCTAAAACACTCCTTAGGATGACCACTATGACAAAAGCCTAGAAAATAACAAGTGCTGATAAGGGTAAAGAAAACTCTTGTGCACTGCTGCTGAGATGATAAAGCCGTGCAGCTGCTGTGCAGAAGTGTGAAGTTTCATCAAAAACTTAAAAATAGAATCGCCATATGATCCAGCCATCCTACTTCTGGGTATACATCCTAAGGAGATGGAGAGCTGAAAGACATATTTGCACATCCGTGTTTGTTGAAGCACTAGTTGCAACAGCCAAGAAGGAGACGAAATGTTTCCACTGACAGATGAACGGATTTAAAAGATGTTGACACATAATGGAATATTGTTCAGCCTCTAAGCATAAGGAAATCCTGCCACATGTTATGACATAAAGCTTGAGGAACTTACACTAAGTGAAATAAGCCAGTCACAAAAAGACAAATATTGAATGATTCCAGTTATAGGAGCTATCCAGGGTGGTCACAACCATGGAAACAAAAAGTGGAATGCTGGTGGCTGAGAGGGGGTATGGGAAGTTGTTTGATGAGCAGAGTTTTTAGTTCTGCAAGATGAAAAGGTTCTAACGATTTGTTACATAACAACATGAATACAGTTAATAGCACTGAACTGTCTATTTACAATAGTAATGAGTTTTATGTTTTTTATATTTAAAAATTAAAAATAAACAAAAACAAAGCAAAACAAAAACTTCAGTACCTGGCAGAGTACGTGTATGCTAAAAAATGTCAGTTTAACTACATTTCTACCCTGAAATCTGGTAATATGATTTTGTAATCAGATTTAAGGAAACACTTCAGGCAACAACTGACTGTTTTAACTCAGTGGTGCAAGTGCCTGCCTGAGTTCAATCCCTGGTATCAAAAAAAGAAAGAAAAGAAAGAAAAAAATAAGCAATAGAATATTAATCATACCAAAGTGAAAGTCACTGCTGGGGATGGGAAGATACAGGTCAATTTGTTCAGTTATGCGTATTTTTGTAGCTACCTCAATCTGGTACCCTCATTTTGGGAGTGTTACCCCAAACCAGAATTACCATGTAAAAGTGGGTTCAAGACACCGCATTCTTGTAAATTTTTCATGGTTAAAATTACCTCAGCAGAGATTTAATAAAGATCTGCATTTATATCCCAGCATGAGGGTTAAGAAAGTCATTATAGTTTATATCTCAAAATAATGTTTCTTCTTCAGTCCTTCCTGTCTGTGCCCCTTGGGCTCATTCATATACCACAAAAACTTAAAATTCATACAACTACAACTCTAAATTTTTACGCAAGGGGATCACACTGGATAATCCATGATCTCCAGGAGTTGGCAGGAGACAGATATAATGAATTGTTATGATTTTATATTACTTTAGCATCTACTCTGAATACAGATTTGACTTTGTCATACCAGAAACTGGGCTTAGTCACTCTTGACACAGCTTTCAATTCAAATGGTACCCAATTCACTCAAACAGTGGTTGGAGAGACAAATTTACAGGCATCTCTCCCTCCTGGTAGACTGAAGTCTCTTTCCAATTCCCTGCTGCTTTTACTGAAGGGAGCACTCAAGCATTTGCCTGAAATCTTAAAAGTGACACATGTGACCTGGGAATGGAGGATCATAAATATTTTTAAACACAGTTAAACATCAATTTAAAATCTTGAAACACCCTTTCTACTGTGATGTGAGGCTGAGTGTGCCTTCTGCCTGAAGAACCAGGGTCTGCCCCAGACTGGGCCTTCCTGGACAGCACAGAGAATGCAATGTTGGGCTCCCAATGCCAGAGTGAGGGTCAGAGGATACAAGCTGGACACAGGTCAGACGAAAGCACAAGGGGCTTCCAGCACCAGGTTCTCCAGTGACAAGCCTCCTGGTCTCTCATCTGATGACTATGTACTAAGCTACCCATCAGGGAAAAGAAGTATCTTGAGAAAGCCACATTATAAACACCTGTTTAGCTGCCCTTCCCGCCCCATGGAACCAGGCAGGGTCTGCTAGTGAAAGCAGCCCTGATGACAGAGCCTCAGTTTAGTGGGGGTCTCAAAACAAAGACAAAGTACAAAGGTGAACAAAAAACTCCAATAAAATAAATTATATGTCACTACCATGACTAATCTAGAGTCATCTACTATGTTGCTGTGCTATCCAAAACAGCCCAAAGCCACGTATGACAATTTAAATTAAAAGTATGGTAGAAAACTTAAGCCTTATTCAATAACCATACAAGGTAGAGGCTGCCACATGAGAAAATAGAGACACAGGCACTGCCATCCTCACTTGTGTTAGATGATGCACGCAGTTAGTGGAGAACAACCAAACATGATTATTCATAAATTACTGGTGTAAAGGCTCATCCCCCCCACCTTTTTTTTTTTTACCTCGTCCTTGGTTAATCCATAAAGCTTCCTCATGCTATTTTATAAGATGTGCTGTTTTGTTCCATCTATAGGGATGCATGCAATATAAATAGGAAAAACAATGATCTCTAAAGAATGAGCATACGTGCTTTTATCAGGTAAGAATTATTCGTCTACACTTTACTTTTCCACAGCTGCTCAGAATTTAATGTCCAGTTACTGTAACTACTATTAGTACAGGTATGGAATATATGTACTTTTATTCCCCCTTCCATACAATTTCTGACATTATTGTTTCTACCTTAATGTATTCTAAATGTTTTATTGTAAGGAAACTTAATTCCCTTTGGAGATAGGCAGAACATAATGTGTATAAATAGAATTCTACTGCCCTCTTTGTTTCAACAGTAAATGTTTCAAGGAAGACATTATAACCAAGAAAAAAAATTTTTCAGTTGTAAATCATAAAGAAAAACTTGGTATACTCATTAACATGCTATATAAATCAATACCAAGTCAGTTTATGCAATTAAAGTAAAACCTTGACAGATTAAAAGAATAAAACTGCCCAAACTTAAACATCATACTAATTTATGAAATATTGGTATGACCATTAAAATTAAAAAAAAAAGGATATCTATTTTCATCACTATTATTCAACACTGTTATGAATGGTGTAGCTAACGTTGTATTGAAAGATGTATAGTTAGTTATTTTATTTTCAGGGACAAATACCTACTGAGAAAATCTCAGTAATTAAGATAGCTAATTAAAATCAGTAATAGCTTATTGAGGTAAAGCTGTATAAAAATCAGTCTCTTTTCTCTTCCACCAATAACTGGTAATAGGAAAAATTTGTAAGATAAATTTGATATGGGTATCTACGTGTCACAAAAGAGAAGGAATAAAAATTGAAAAATGATAAAATCTTATTAAAGGACATAATCTTGGATATAGAATCTTTAAAGTATTCACCCTTCCTAAATTAAAGCAGTTTATTCAATGCTGTTCCTTCTTAGGAATGGTTTTAACTTCAGAAAAACAACTGACAGTGACGCAAGACAAAAACTTTTAATAATCTCATGTAAAAAGAAGTGTAGAAAAGGAACTACCAGGCCAATGCTGTGGTTCACAATTATAAAAACCCGGACTCCTCCCTTCCTGAAGAAAGCTGGTTTGTTGCCTCAGTTCTGAGGCTGCAAGTGAGAAGGTGGGAATGGGGTGCGTGTTTAGCCACTTGTTAGCATACACCACGAATTTCTAACCAAAACCCAATTTTTTTTTCCGTACAACTGCTGTTTCCTCAATTAGAAGTAACTGCAGAAGGGGAAAGCACTTACCTTCCTAACTATAGTATTCTTGGTACCTGACACCCACAAGCTAAAGGAAAAAGGTTTATTTCGGCTCAGTTTGTAGGTTTCAGTCCATAGTCTGTTGCCCCAAGACAGAGGAGAAACAGTCCATGGCATGGTAGGCAGAGGGTAGGTGCTGTGTGTGTGTGTGTGTATCTCCGTCCTACCTCGATATATTTAATGCGTCCAGACCACACCCACAGTGGCCCACCTCTTCCATTAGGCTTCACCTCCCAACATCCCACTCAGCTATAAACCCAACAGTGTCACATACATCATCTGGTCACCTCCCAAAAGCCCAGCTATGGCTTAGAGGGACATTTAGATAGAAGCCATACACATTTTTTAACAAGACTAGTATCTTTGGGAGACTTTCCAAATGTTTCCATGTCAGATTTCTTCTATAAGTTTCTGAATTTACACATAGAATTTACATTTAGCCATATTAAGTTTCTAGTTTTAATCAAGTTGTTCTCATCATCTGGTCTAATGCCCTTACCACACCCATTTATATTTATACACATCCACATCTACTAGTGCACACACATAAAACCCCAAAAGGAAGAAAAACTGGATAGAAAAAATTTAAATTAATGTTGATTAAAAACAAAATGTATTTAGATTCTAAATTCTGTAAGTAAAAATGAGAATTTCAGTTGAATACAGTATTAAAACTTTTACAAATTCCTTTACATAAACTGGGAAGAAAAATGTTAATGAAAATTTAGGTTTAGTGATTGATAATTAGCATATAATGTTACATATTAAGATTTTTGTAACAAAGTATAGTTACAATGGTTAAGAACAAAATTAAGCAATGCTACCAAAATTTTCTTTCCTGGGAATAAAGCAGTAAAGTGGATGAAAACTGAGAAGTTCATGGTATCAATTTCTTGTGGCACATGCACATTAATCTAGCCTTGTAAAGACTGTATCCAACAGACTTAAGTCTCCCTAGTGACATCCTTGATTCATGTATTGAATGTGTCTTTTCTCGGTGAATTACATAAAAACAGAATTAGTAGTATTATTTTATTGTTTATAGTGGAAGAAATAAAAGTTTTCAGACACGTTCTTTTTCAATGCTCAAATTTTATTCAGTTCTTGAATATAAAGATAGTATCTACATGTTATGAAGCCTTTAGAGGATTTACTCTATAAATGCCAATCAGAGAAATGCTTTGGCCTTAATTCATTTTTCCCACGTATAAAATAATCAGCAAATACAAGGCAAAACTACTTTCAATAAATAGTAGCAAGAAAAAGAATGTTTTTCTAATATGAATATATTTTCCACTGTACTAAACTCAGAACAATATTATAGTTTCATTTTTATTCCAAATGAGTTACTCAACTTTGGCTATTAGTTTGTATTATTGAAAAAAAATTTAATGGAAAACAGTCCAATTAAATAGTAAACATTTTCAAAACCCTTGTAAAATGTGTCAACTGTAAACCAACTTGCTGAAGATATAAACAAGCTGAAGAAGAAGAAAAAGTTCAACCATGGTTAACACAGACTTAATTTTAAAAAGTCAAAGTTTAAAGAGGGCCGATGTTTGCTCACATTTATTTCAAGAAACATCACAAGCAGAACTTTACTGCCCTCTTTTGTCTCAAGAGTGTAGCACAACAGAAGCGCCAGAACAGGGGATCCTCCAGGAATCACTGAAAGATCAAGGTGGAAGGAGATTGCTTTCCCAAAGGGTAGCAAACTGCTAGCGCAGACAAAACTTGCTTAAATGAATTTGTACTGCTTGTTATCTCATAAATTTTTGTTCAGTGAATAAAATTTACTGACTTTTAAAAATGTTTTTGATGATTGCTGAAAATACACCACAGAGAATAGAACAAATTTATAAATTTTATGACTGACATTTTAGTAAGCCTAAGAAGTAGAAATCTAAACATTTCCAATTTTAATGTTGGTTGAACAACTTACCTTTCAAATGCAAGGATGTTGAAAACCACTAAAATAAAACTTAGGACTTTGTCGTTATAGCCATACGGCTGGTGCTTGATGCAGACTTTTGCTAACTGACCTAATAAAAATCAATTAGGGGCTCTCTTTGCTTAATATTAGACTGCAAACAAGTTTTCTCTAATGATTTGATCTTATAGTTGAGGTTTCTTTTCTTATATGAAAGATACATGCAACTGTGATTTTCTGATACCTATCACTTTGGGATTTCCTTTGTACCCAGGAATAAACTTAGAAAGCAGAGGCATAAGGAGGTTCTACTTCTGTTGCAGAAATGCAATCAGCTAGTTACTTATGTCAGAAGGGGAAAGCAGTTACCTACCCACCCAGCTTCTTGAATGAAGCCATACTGCTTAAGTCTTCCAACAATAAGTCTTCCAACCCATATTTACCCACATCAGCTTATGCTTTTTGTATACTTTCTTAGCACCAACCTGGGATACTGTGACTGCTGAAATTCTTCAATGGAAAAAGAAGCTATCAATTGTTTTTATGACAATGAAATTAATCCTTAGTATACTTTTCATACATTTAACTAATTCATTCAAAGAAAAAAATACTGTAATTGCAAGTATGCTAACGGTTGCTTTTTGTGAGATATATGGGAACAATATTTCAGCAAGTTTTATAAAAATCTGGTATAAAAGTTAAGTAAAACCTTTTAGATATAAAATCAGTTTACCTAACCTACATTCCTTCCAAGACATATTTGTACTTCTTGTCATGGTTTGCAAACAAAAAAACAAACAAGTCTCAAATCATTCCCTTTAAAATCCAAATCCAATGACCATATCAGTCTAAATGCAGAAAGGTTCATATCAGGATGCATTTTGGCAAGTCATAAACACAAAATCAAGGCAAACCTTGCCCTTGGTATCAAGTACCTGGCACATGTAGAAAGACTTGTTAATAAATGCCTGGAGCGTGCCTAGAACAAACTTCAAGGCTCCTGTGCTCCTATGATAGCCATAGCAGTCATGCAGAAGGAAAGACACCAATGTCCCCACGCTACTGAAGAGAAAGCTACTATGATCCCCACAGCAGTCATGCAGAAGGAAAGACACCAATGTCCCCACGCTACTGAAGAGAAAGCTATGGCAACTCACTGAAGATCACGTAGTCTGATTGTGGCACAACACACTTAGCAATGGCCTTGGGATACAGGACAGGGTCTGCTTTTGCTATTGATTTATCTTCCTAACTGCATTATGACATGATCCAAAGCATCAAAACGAGTATGACTGCCTTCAGTCTGGAAAACAGACCTCCTCCTAAATAGGTAACTCACAAAGTCAGCTCAATATGCTACAGCACTCCCAGGGAAACACTGGGATAAAGAGGGGAGCTGATCGGAGAGACAGGAAGGCTCCATTGGTCTACATGGCAAGTTCTACTAAGATCTAGAATAAACTAGAACTGAAAAATTATTGTAATTAGGAAGCCAATATTCAGACCAATGGAGGTAGGTGTAAAAATAGGCAAGAAAATTTTCAATTTAATAACTCACAGTGTTGGCACATTTCCATGTAAATAACCCTGAAATTTCTGTGAGGTAGATAAAATTTAGGAATGACCTTATTTCACACTTAAAAAGAATTGAGGAGGGGCCCTATTTCTAAGATTAACTTCTAAAAAACTACTTATTTTTAAAAACTCCTTTTGGTAAAGTGAGTAGATGCCAGCCATTTTATTGCACATTTAAGGGCCCACATGAAGATCTTTCAGCTAAAGAATCAATGTCACGTTGAGTTTTAATAAAAAAAGGCCAGAATATGTCACAGTTCACAAGAAGTTTCTAACTTTCCCTCGGTAGCCTCCGTGAACATCGTGGTCAGGTCTGGTGCTCTTCCTTCAGTCCCGTCACACACCGGTGCTGCTGTCCTGCGCTGACTGCTGTCCTGCGCTGACTGCTGGCCTGCGCTGACTGCTGTCCTGTGCTGACTGCTGGCCCTGCGCTGACTGCTGGCCTGCGCTGACTGCTGCCCTGCGCTGACTGCTGTCCTGCGCTGACTGCTGTCCTGCGCTGACTGCTGCCCTGCGCTGACTGCTGCCCTGCGCTGACTGCTGTCCTGCGCTGACTGCTGCCCTGCGCTGACTGCTGTCCTGCACTGACTGCTGTCCTGCGCTGACTGCTGTCCTGCGCTGACTGCTGCCCTGCGCTGACTGCTGCCCTGCGCTGACTGCTGGCCCTGTGCTGACTGCTGGCCCTGTGCTGACTGCTGTCCTGCGCTGACTGCTGGCCCTGTGCTGACTGCTGTCCTGCGCTGACTGCTGGCCCTGTGCTGACTGCTGTCCTGTGCTGACTGCTGGCCCTGTGCTGACTGCTGCCCTGCGCTGACTGCTGGCCCTGCCCCCATCCGGACTGTCAGCTGCTCTGCTCGTGTCTCTGTGAACGTGAGCTTCATTTTGTAGCTGCAGTATCTACCGCGCTGTGAGCACTCAGGTCCGTATTGGTCACCATCTCTCAAGTAGCTCATTTTATGTACATTCAACAAACTGGAGGTTTACAGTTAGTTCTTCATGTGTAATTCTTGGCATTATTCTAGGAACCCACTTTTATTCCTATTTTTTAACCAGGAAGAGTTCATCTACTCTAGTTACCCTAGCAAGTAACTAGGTTACAATTTGGTTCCTGGTTCTGATCCCATTTTTAAAATCACATTTCTTTCACTGAAATATCCTGATGCACTTAGTGAACCTGACTGATTCACACGAATGGCAGCAGAATGGAACACATAATGACCTTTCTGTAATTAGATCTTTTTACAACTAAATCAGTTAAAAATAGGTTTGTGTTTGAAGCCCATTTTCAAACTATCAAACTGAGAATTTGAAATGACACTGTAAGTATCTCCAAAAAAACACTAGGTACTGAATGCAGCAATATAGCCACTAAAAGGCACAAATTTTTGTACTTGTTTTGCCCCGATTTCGGCTACGTAGATTGCTCCCGTCTTTTGGTCGACCTCTAGGAGATGGGGCAGAACTTGATCTGCGAGCTGGATGGTGCTGACCACGGAGCAGTCGCCGATGCTTCCCACTGGGGGCCCCGCCAACACCAGCAGCCTGCTAAGGTTCAGCTGTGCCACGACCAAGTACTTCCTGTCGGGAGTAAATCTAAGGAGAAAGTGTACGGCAGATTCATCAGGGATGTTTACTTTCTCAACATTTTTATACTCTACACTGCTGAACAACAGTAGGCACCTATCTGATGAAGGATTCTTTTAATGAAAATTTAAATTTGATCTAATTCTGCTGAGACAATTAAGAGATCTGTGATGGTAGAGACAAAGATTAGCTTAAATTTATAAACAAAAATTATCGACATGACAGTGTCAAAATAAAACTAAAAGAACTCTAAACTACAGACTCAAACTTTTATTTTCCTCATTTGTTTAAAAATGTGAAAGTTTACAGGAGACACCCAGCATACCTTTATTGTCTCCGATACTGGCACTCCACACTGGGAGTTTAACTGCCTTTATCTGGGATTCAAAAATCCAACATGTCAAATTTTTGTGTACACTCACTTGTTTCAATCTATTTCTGGCTGCTTTTTCTTTTCTTTTCTTTCTTTCTCTATTTTTTTTGATGATGCTGAGGTTGGGCCTAGGGCCTGCACCTTGTAGACAAGCCCTGCACCACTGAGCTGTATCTCTGGGCCCTCTGCTTAAAATTTACAATAAGCATTTTAACTTTCATCTGGCTAATCAGAGGAAGTAGCGCAAATACACTAAAATAGGCATTCTGAAATAAAAGGAAATGATCACCTGACAGAAGAAGGTCCTTCTTCTGTGAAACAGCTGCTCCACGCTCCTAACCACTCCCCGGTGTCTTTATCAAACACTTGGATTCTTTTATTTCCTCGGTCAGCAACCCACACCTGAGAAACAAAAGGCTTATCAACTGGGAAAGATTCACTACATGAGAGAAAAACAAGATAAATGCTTACTTTTCATTAGTTTCACATATAGTATTTCAGTACTTAAAAGGCTCCGAAGAACATATTATAAACTACATGTTCAGCTGAGGAACAACTCAATTAGAAAGGTGAAAGGCCTCATGTGACCTGCACTCACACAGTCTAATGGCTGTCTGTCTCAACTCTCTGTCTACTCTGTTAGACACATGATTAAAACAACTAAAAACTTGAATAGTCAATAGTAATGCAGAGGATTGATAGTAAAAAGCAACAATGAGCCTTCCTTCGTTTAACAAGTTTACCTTCCTATCATTAGCCTGTCAGCTCCTGGGCCAGGCAACAGGACAGAAAAACGAAAGCAGCTCTGCTCCTTAGGAACTCAATAAGGGAGGCCTTTATTTACTCTTGTATCATTAAACCGCGTGCACTATGTCCAACCTTCTGAACCATTAAACAGACAAAGACTGGGGGATGTTACTGATGCACAAAGCATGGTAACAGGTTTCACTTGGGTTTATCACATGCTGTAATGCGTTAAGAAACTTGGTATGAAAGAGGAAGTCAGAGTCATTTTAAATGACACTTGTGTATTGCGTTCACTGTAAAAGCATACACAAGTGAAATGGTTTTTGATGCCAGTAGCTAAGTCTAAAGAGGCAGAAAAAATGAACTGGAAGGAAAGGTGAAGCATCCTGATTGAGTCTACATGCCTCTCCTAACTCTGGATTTCTTGGGTTTGTGGATTCAAGGAGAAATTTTTAGGGTAACCCTGACTCTATCAGCTTGTGTAAATTTGGTAGCTACTGACTTCCTTTCTAGGCAAAAACAAATACTCATTATACCACTTCAGAGAGCTTCTGATGCCTAAGTAAATAATTCCTCTCGGTCTTCCTAATCTGTAATTCTTCAGTAAAGGTCAGAAGGATTTTGTGTCTAAGACAAATGACTAAGGAGGAAATACAGCTTGCACCCTGGAATTGAAAGACACTTTAGGAATCTTCTTAGAGTATTCAATGATACCAACAGCCTGTTGCAGCATGTGTTATAGATTCAATATTGCAGCAATATAGATCGGCAGCACTTTCTTTTCTATCCAATACTCAGCAAATTTTGATCAATTTTGAATTTGTTTACACAACAAGTCTTTAAGGGCTGGGGATTTAGCTCAGTGGCATAAGCACCTGCCTGGCAAGTGTGAGACCGTGAATTCGATCCCTGACACTAAAAAAAAAAATAAAACAAAAAACAAGTCTTTAACTCTAAAAGGAATGAACTTTTGTTATAGAGTTGTGGTGATGATTAAGTAAGTTAAATCATGTTAAATGTTCCCAATAGTACTGCTGTTATAAAAAGCGCAAGCATGTAAGTCTTAACACTCATCTTTTATGACTCAGTAATACCAGACTATTCTCAGCAAATGATCCGCAAGGCCTCTTAGGATATTACTAACCACAGAGAATTTGTTTGGGGCTAGGTTTCTCATGCTCTGAAATTTGAACTTTTTCTTAGTCCATAAGGGAAATAATTGGAAGCTAATACATAAAAACAGAATTCTAACTTTCTGGTGCTCAATTTATATATAAAGTTCATCTGGTCAGTTAATTTCTTATGGTGGATAGGAATATATGATGATCAAAACATTTATACTTTGTTATCACTGGAAAAAAATCCTAAGTAGAAATTTGTTTGATCCCACAAAATCAAAAGAGGAAACAGATCAAGTGTCTAATGGCACACAGGCAAGCAGCCTGACAGCCACTGTGAATCAAGATGCTCTGTCATTCACCAGATACATATGACCACTATGTGTCCAGCAGTAAGATATTAAGCAAGAAGTACAGATGTGCCCTTTACAACCTACTTCCTATTAAAGGTACAGACAATTCAATGATTATAATATAGAATGACAATTATCATGATATAGAATTACGAGTGACTATCAGAAAATGAGAACTCAATATAAAAATGTTTGATGGAAGTTTGGTTGTGGAAAGGTAACCCTAAAGTGAGTAAAGGCCAAAAAGGTGGTGGTAGGAGGGGATAGAAAAAGAGAGAGGATTAAATTGAAATTTGTTGGTTAAAGCTGTTTCCAGGAAAGCAGCAAGGATTCAGGATTAACCTCCAGTTCAAGCTCAGTCTGGGCAACTGAGCAAGATCCTGTCTCAAGGTAGGGAATTAAAAAAAGGAATGGGGGGGGGGCTGGGGATTTAGCTCAGCGGCATAAGTGCCTGACTTGCAAGCAGGTAGTCGTGAGTTCGATTCCCGGTACCAGTAAAAACGAAAAAGACCAAATAAAAATCACATAGGGGGCTGGGGATTTAGCTCAGTGGCATAAGCACCTGCCTTGCAAGCAGGCGGTCGTGAGTTCGATCCCTGGTACCGGAAAGGAAAAAAAAAAAAAAAAAAAAAAAAAAGGAATGGGATATAGTTCAGTACAAATGCCCTGCATTCAATCCCCAGTATTAAAAAAAAAAAAGACTAATCTCTCCCACCCCTTTTTGATCAACACACAGGAGGGCAACACTTCTTTTGAGATAACTCTGTTTGCATCCATTCTTTGTTCTTTCTCATCTACTTGGTTCAGCATTAAATATTTGAGGAAGCCTCTCAGTACAGGATCCAAACATTTAAACAAAGTATGTGTGTGTGTGTGTGTGTGTGTGTGTGTGTGTGTGTGTGTATGTGTGTACCCAGCTACAGAGCTCCCTACTAAGCAACACATACATCCACACATTCGAGACACACACATGAATATGACGAGCTACACAAACGTGCCCAGAGACACAGAGCTAGACATGTTTGCATACATGCACACACATGTGCAATACTGTCCCAGACACAATGACGTTGTATTTTTACCCGACCAGCTGAATCGAGTGTAACGCTGTGAGGTATATTGAATTTGGCAGGTCCTGTCCCATTTTCTCCATGCAGCCAAAGGATCATGAAATCTATAAACAAAAAATATGGTCAGTGCACCATATAGAATGCCTAACACATTTGTATGTTACATTTCTCAGATTGCAGACAACTATTTAATTATGTTTCAATTAACTTATGTTTTCCTGGCTTCATACACCTGCTTGCCTAGTTCATACATTGCTTCAACAACTAACCTTCTTCTTTAATTATCCCCACTTGAATTTTTATGATTGCTTCAAAATCGTTACTAGGATTTATGTACTCCTCTTTCTCAAACTGGTTGCTGTTTCCAACTTATCTGTTATTTGGTGTTATCATTTCATTGAACTTGAAAACTCACATTATGTTTTTACAAAGAACCTCCCTTGTAATCACTCAGGAGTTCTGAACGGCGGTCCTCCAGAGCATTCACCCATATCCTAATCTTTTGTCCCTATGTATAAAATTGAAGTAGGGATCTTGAGATGAGATCATGCATTTACAGTTAGGCCCTAAATCCTTAAAAGCAAAAGGAGTATTTAAAACACAAAAACATGGAGAAGGGGCCCAAAGAAGAGAGGCAGAGATGGGAGTTACCTGCCCCAGGCATGTTACATCCACAACTAGAAAAGCTGTGGAACAACTCTGAACCCTCCTCTACTGCTACTAGCGGGGACCTCACTTATTTTATAAATTTCAGACTTCTGGATCCCCAAAATTCTGAGAATAAAATTTTTTGTTTAAAACCACTCTGTATCAGTTTTTAATGGTGGCTACAGGAGCTAATATAGTGATATTCTATTTCTTATTTCTGGTATGTTTATTTCATAGAATTTTTTAGATTCTTGCTTTGCTCTACCCCACCTCCCTTTAATTGCTACCGATCAGATACATTACTAAGTGATAAACTGACTCCATAGACTTCAAATAATGGAATTCACTAGAAATACAGTCTGCCAAAGAAAATGTATAAACACTTCAGGGAAAGATAATAGTACAAAGCTGTTTCAACAGATGGTGTTACTCTCATACAGGGGACCCCAGAGGCTGTTGTAGACAGCAGAAAACCCGCTACACTGCCAACCTTAGAGAAAAAATTGAAAATGCGTGTGCAGCAATCTCAATGGGCATTTTGACCGAGGTTACCAAGCAGCAGTTCTCCACACTAATCAATGTCTGGAAGCTGAAGGGCACCACTTTGTGCACCTCTTGCAATTGTAGAGACCAAAGGTAACTTGCACTAATCTCATAACTCAATGCATTTAGTATTAAAATATCTATACATGTCTTTCTTTTGCTGAAGTACATGTACATTTTTGGCAGACTGTATATCTAGCATAAATACTGTTTTTCTCATAAAACCTGTTTTTAGAAAATCTTTTTTCTACCAAAACCATCAAAAAGACTCCATAATAGACCAGTGGTGGTGAACCTATGGGATGTGTGTCACAGCAGATGCCATCAGTGCTACAGGCAAGGTACAGTTTATAAAACCTTCAGATAAGCTTTCAAATTCGTCCCAAATCTTATTTTTCACCATTCTGAAAGTGCACTTTCAGCTCACTCCTACTAATGATTACCTATAGACCATGTAGGACAGGGCTGCTGGAGCACTCCCCCCACTACACCCATCAGTTTAGTTCTAGGAGCAAGGAGTACTTCATGAAATTGAACTTGTCCAACTTCTTTAGTCAATTTAGTTTCTTCTTCTTCCAATCTCTATTTTATTTTCAAAATCATAACCATGGGTTGCATTTAACTGTCTTGTCCATAACAGACCACCACTAGTGCTATTTTGTACTGAGGGCAGAGAAGAGTGCACTAATGAAAATGTGGCCGATAATTAGCCTGTAGAATACCTGACTGCGCGTCCAGATTCCTAACTTCATTCTTAATTAGACAGGCTATCTACTGACCTCAGACTGACTATAAATTCTCATGCTCCCTCCCATTCCCTCTGGAGGAAACTCTAGTCACTGGTGACGTATAAGCAGCCAAGACAGGAGAATCACTGATTATTGGCACTCCCTCCAACTACCTTTCAAATTTCTCCTAGTAATGGGTTTTAGTCCTTTACACACAACTTCATTTCTAACAGTTCTAATAGTATACTATGCATTAAACAAATTAATAGAATTTATAAAATAATGTTTTACAGTACCACATAAAATTAAGTCCTGTACCTTGGGACAGTTTGATCAATCTGTTATTCAATCCTCCATCTCCATCCACAATGTAAATATCTCCTGTGTCCTCTACATATAATTCTGCAGGATTATCAAACTGCAGGGGATTCAAACCTGTGCCTTTTTTGCCCGCAGTACCCAAGACTTGAACAAGATCACCAACAGAATTGTATTTCTTAACAGTATGACCATAGGAGCCTGTAAAGACAGACATACACTTCTCACAAATAAAACCACTATATAACAATTGATTTTCAAATAAGCAGAGGACAAAATTTTGAAAGAATTAAACAGAAAGAAAAGGCTGGTACCCTCAGATAATTTATCATTATAACTGAAAATTTGTTTATGAACTAAAATCTTAATTACTCCAAAATGAGACTCTCAATTGAAAAAAATTTTTAAAAATGAATGCACATGGAAAGTTCATGGTTAACAAGTTACTGGTGTAACATTTTCTTTGAATCTCTTGACCTTAGAAAAAGCATTGCTTGTAAAAGGAAATCAAGAACCAAATATAAAAGAACAACTTACATTCAAAGCAGTTATTTTAATCATTTATATATAAATCTTAAATTTTAGATCAACAAAAAACACCATAATAAAAGTTTTTTTGGAAAAAAAAACTACATTTTCTTCTATTGCAAACAAATTCAAAATTGAACCCATTAACTTTCCTTAGAGAAAAATAGCCTTAGAATTAAAATGATCTTCTAAGTGAAAGAATAAAGTAGAGCACTAATAAATAGGGCAAATTATAAAGCAGTTAACAAAAACAAACTTGAAGGCATACTATCCGATAGGTAGCAAAAGACTAACTGAATATTCTGAGCTTACTAGAAATAAACTGAATCAGCATTACAATTTTATGAAAAGTATATTATTCTTAAATTTAATTTGGACACTTAAGCTAAAGTTCATAGCAATAAGAGGGAACAATACTGTCAAAGAAAGCAAACCTCAAAATATCTGAAGAATTGACAAACACGACAGAATACCACTAAATAATTTTTTTAAGAAAATGGCTCATTTGCAGCTATATTTTCATTAGAAAAAATTTATTGCTTTTAAAAATGGGGGAGGACACATAACTCTAAGAGATCTGTTGTTGGGAAAATAAGCTATAACGGAAAAAATGTGATTAGTGATGCTCTTTTTCCTTCTGGGAATCAGGGAAGTCTTATTAAAAGGAAGAAGAAGAACATGAATTCAAAGACAAGACTTTTAGTAGTGATTCTGGGGGGAAAATGCAAAAATAGTCAAATCGCTTAAGAGTGTTAAAATAAACTGTGATATTGTAGCCTTTTTTAGTATTTAGATGGTACTTACCATCTAAAATATATCTTAAAATAAGTGGTTTATCCATTATCTGAAACCCAGAAATCTTTCGAGTTCCAAGAAAACAAGTGGTTGGTATAATAACTTAGATCTCACTAATTTATTTTTAAGAAAGTACCCGAATGAGCCTTATCAACTGTGATTTTTAAATGTACAATTAAGAACACAGGCAAGGATGTGATTTCCAGCAAAACAATTTAATAGATACAACTATACATACCACTTCCTACATCTGTGATCCAGACGGATTGTTCATATGGTGTACTGGCTGCAAACATACCATGAGGTGTGTCAACTGTATAATTCCAGGCTCGTAGGAAATATCCATCTTCTGTGAACACTAAGACTTTTGGGATGTTATCCCCTCTCTGAAGGTATACAAAAATAACTGCTTAGAGAAGGATCAGTCTTAAGGAATGGTAATCTTCATTTTGTCAGAAAGAAACAAAATTAAAAGGTTGAGAAATTAGTAACGTCTGAAAAACCAACTTCAAAACCTAACAATATATACAGAATATCATAATTGAAACCAAAATATTTACTTGAACTCTCCAAAGCCTCGCAAGTAGCAAGTAGAGTTACAGAAATGTATACTGCTACTTAGGCCAGTAAATCAGAAAGCGTAATTTGCTTTGCGTTCACTTTTTTTAAAATTCCCATTTTACTTACTTGAGCTACGTAAACCAACCCGTTGACAGAATCAACAGCAACACAAAATGTCGTTCCCGTAAAGTATTCTGAATAATGAGGCCAATCCAAATCCAGCCGGTAAAGGAGTTTCTCTGTTCTCCAGGAAACTTGAAAAGCAAAGTTCATTAACACCTTAAGAAAAACCAGAAGATTAAAATTCAGTTTGCCCTGTAGACAAAACAATGGATGGGTGTGAAGTTTGCTGGACCGAAGTGATTCCTAAGAAATGGACTTTCAACTCTATAGACCAAACTGATCACAATAAAGTCTGCCAATGACCCAAGGATGTAGTAGGAGTTGAAGAACAAGAGAAAATGCCATCCACAGTGACACTTCTTAACACTAAGAGACCAGGCGACTGGTCAGCGGTTCGGCCTCAACTCCACGTATCTGGAAGTGCCGATGCGGGAAGGAACCGAGGCCACCATCCAATACAGTAAGACCGCGGAGCTTCAACTCGATAGTGCCATCAATACCCGACAGTGATTTCCTCACTAACCAACTCACCCCAGAGCCATAAAAATGCTCATGCAAAACCACACATGCAAGAAAAATCCCGGCGCCAGCCAAGCAGACCCAGAATCTGGCCATTACTAGCACAAAGCAGAGTGCACAGGTCACTGGAGACGGCCAGGCAGCCTCAGGTGAGAGCAGGTCGTCGCTGCACAGCGTCACGCGTGATCCCCAGGCTGAAGCCCCTCAGTTCCCGTCCCTGGAAGGTGCGGACTCCGAGGAGAGGAACACAAGACTGCCACAAGGAAAACCTAAGACAACCAGTTCCGGGTTTGTAGTGCCTTTCCGGGTCTCCACCCCCACGCCGGGGGGGCCCAAAGACTGACCCAGTAACCACCCTTTCCCCACCCCTCGGGGTGGTCCAAACTGCAGTCTCGTGGCCACCAAAATAGGAGTGCCCAGAGATATGCCTTATACATTTGCCCTTTGTTTTTTTAACTTCATGTAGAAAAATATCACAATGTAACCCTAAAATCGGACAGATAAGAAGAAATGACATTGTCAAAACGGCTTCCAGGCTCCGAGACGGTTTTAAGCCATATACAATTTCGAAACATCCAGGCATTAGCTATGGGTGCCTACGTTCCCACATCAGGACCCCTCCACCGGCTTTTAGGAAATCGCGACCCAAACTGGCGTCGCGGAGTTACGTTTCTTTGGGCGCGACAGACTTCATTGAAAGTCCCTAAGAGCTGGTGGGGGTTGTAGGGGTAATCCGGTAGGGCGTCTGGCGCTGCAAGGGCTTGAAGTGTTCAGGAGTCCCCCTTCGTGAGGCCGTGTCCCCCTTCGCCCGGCTCCGAGTGCTCTCCGGCCGCTGGCCCGCTCTCGAAAACCACGGAAGCTAGGTAACAAAGAGTTCGTCCCGCCGTCCGCCCCCCGGGCTGCGGGACCCAGGAGAGGAGCGGCTAGGGATGTACACGGGCCGGGCCGCTAGTCCTGGATCGCAGCGGTGAGGAGCGCGGCCCGCGGCCGAGGCGCTGGTGCGGGCCGAGGGACCAGCGCCTCCTTCCTCGCCGCCCGCGGAGTCCGGAGCGCAGGTATCTCCGCTCCCCTGGACGCTACCTGGGAAAGTGGCTTCAGCGACTTCCGGCGGTGGCGTCTGGCCCTCAGCTGCCCCAAATTGCGCTGCTCGGGGTTTCTCTGCAGGACTTGCAAGACCCGGCTGTTCCTCGAGTTGTTCAGAAGCTTTGTGTGAAGAAGTCCGACGGGAGTGGTTTTTGCTTGTAATAAAAAGTTTTTCTAAGACTCCGTTTTTTAGAAAATTTTCCGGAGTTTGCAATACTCTACCTCCTCTTTTCTCCTGCTCCTAGAGGGCTTTTCTTCTTCAGCTATAAACATTTTTTGCTGTCAACGGAGCAGAGCAGGGATGAACATTTTGTAATTGAAAGTATCATTTAAACACGTCGGAGCAGTAGTCAAGATGGACAAAAAGTCCTTTGAAATGGTGCTGGATGAAATCAGAAAGGTAATTACACTTAATTCCTTAAATCATAGTGTACCACTTGCCATGGTTTAAGTTTTTGGGTGGATTGTATAGATTGTAAAGGTCCTCTATCATTTCAAACCTAGTGGGTTTGAATTTTCACAGGGAGTGTAAAATATTTTATCTTGAGACATTTCACCAATAGAAGTTAGGTTAACACAGCCTGAGAATCAGTGCGGTGTTGTGGAAATTATCATGCATCCTTAGCTGTGAAACTGCTCTACAGTATTTAGCTTAAAACTTTGTAATTCTGGATAAGTAGTTTAATATAGCTGAGTGTTGACTCAGCTTTCATTTATAGGAGAATGATCTAAAACTCTGAAAGTTTTGTTGTAATCATTACTATGAAGTATTTTTCGAAGTTAGAAGCAGAATGTTGTCTCGAACAGAGCAAAATTAGTGCGACATTGTTTAAAGTCATTTTCTTGGGGATTGGCCATCAATATCTTGAATTTTAAACGATGTTTTGAATTTCAAAACTTTTTCTTCTGCATGCTACGTTTTTGCTTCTTTTTGAGTTTCGTGTGTATCCTACTTCCAGGAATGAAGGAGACAACAGTAATTTTGTAATGCAGTCTTGAGCCCAGCAGTATCATAAGCACAAAAACAAGAAAAAACTTAACCTCTTTAGAAATGAGAGGGCTCAATGAACTATAGTTATATCCACCCCCATTGCCTTGTTCAGGCCTGCAGGGCAGTTACTATTTCATCCCCTTCCATCTGTTGGTTGGCCACACAGGAATTACTGCCATGTGCTCTGGTGCTTGTTTCAGTTTATAAAGTTATTGCTGATATTGTTTCTGGACTTGCTGATTTACTTTGTTTTCTCTTTCCAAATAAAATGTTTGATTTTCACATATCTGAGAGAGTTAAACATTCCTTTTTGAACAAATTTCTAAGTATACAAATCCAGTTTACCCAATTAAGATTTGAAACAAAGTGCCAGTTTATTGATTGGGTATTTAGAATTTGTAGCAATTTGTTCATGAGCAGTTTGTCTTTTTAAATGGTGTTTATAAGAAAATACTTTGTGAATCCAGCAGATTTCTACTTTTGGATAAAACAGTGTCATGTACATGTTTTTCCTTAATATGCATCGTGGAAATGCCTTGTAAATATTAGTGAGAGGAAGGTCGTGAGTTTCCAGAGTTGAAAGTTATTTTCATGTACGATGGCATTGTAGCTTCATATTTTTGGTTTGCAGTCAGTACTTGCAGGCTTTGTCAAATGATTAGCTCCATCAGCATTGTAGTAATCTATTAAATGTGAGCACATGTAAAATGGGCATTATTACTGATTTAATCTTAATTTTTCTTAGACTTTGTAAATGTCAGTTTAAACCAAGCCATCTCTTTTCCTGATTGTCATTCTACATAACCACTGTCATTAAAGCAAAATGGCATGTAATAAGACTTTAGGAAAAGAAATAAAAAATGTAGAAAAAGCAGTTGAATGCTTAAAGAGATCAGTCAGTGAGCATTTACTGTTTGATTCGGCCCTCCTGATAGCCCATAAGATAGATACTTCTGATTTAACAGCTGGTAGACCTGGTGTCTGAGGCTAAGGCAGCTCTAGGTTACAGAACTGGTGAGTAGGGGGCCTGATAGACAGAGGCAGTCTTGACTCCAGAGCAGGATGATATTCTTGAGGATACAGCTGTGCTTCTCAGGCATTGATGAAAGAACTGGAACGTGTCAGGGTATCAATACTATCCAGAAGTTAGTCCAAAAATTCATTTTCTACATCCAGTAATGATTAGCAAACTCCTAATAGTGCATTAGCCAGAATGCCGTTTTTTCTCCATTCCAGTGAAAATTAAACTACTGAGCACCCTGCATGTTTGGTTGACTGGTCTTAATATTTTCTCCCAGCAGAATAATAGACAAGTATATGGAAAGTGCAAGTGTTTTATACAAGAACAAAAGGATTAGGGTATTTTTGTCTTATGGATTTTTGGACAGTGCTTGGAATGGAACTCAGGTACTCTGCCAACCTTGCAATTAGTTTATTTTTTTATGATTAATGGCTGTCAGACTGTGATAGCCTGGTATTTTCATCTCTGAGATTGGTAGATAGCTGCAAGGGGAGCATGTGATTTTAGTTGGCTCTAGATAATGTTAGAGTAAGTCCACCACTTTCACTTATAGACTCCAAACAGAAACATGACTTATACAGTACCTATTAGGTGTCCGATCTAATATTGACTATTGTAATCCTTATGGTACCCCTTTTATAAATGAGGAAGTCTTAAAAGAATTCACAGGCCACACTGCCAGTTAGTGGTAGGAATAGACAATGATCTCTTGCATTACTGAGTGCCTGTACTAGACTTTGTCCTATTCTTCTCTCTCACTGGCCACATAATTGGTACTCAATAAATAGTTGATGAGTAAGTAATACCTGATATATTTAGTCTTAATAACAATTTAGCCGGACAAGGATATTTTGAAATTCTTATTTATGTGTAATTTGTACCAGTGCTGAATCTTACTTATTAGAAGTTCATTTCTTTTCAGTTTTGTAGGGAAGGTTGGGTGCACATCAGTGGATTCTCTGTAGTATGTAACTTGAGAAGGTGAAATGTCCTGTCACCACAGTGACTTTAGCTGCTTTCATATTCCAGGGCCAAAGGGAGCCTGTCTTTGTTGAGTTGCTTGGGTAGTTGTGATATGTGCATATTTCTGTGGTGCTTATATGTATTAATGCTGTTTTTCTATTTTTTAGGCTGTTTTGACAGAATACAAGTTAAAAGCAATTGAATATGTGCATGGATACTTCTCTAGTGAACAGGTAGTCCTGTTACTTGTTTTTAAATAACACCTTTTTGCACAACTATTTTGGCTAATGTTTGTTTACCCTGCTGAATCAACCCATAATTTGTAAAATTTGTAGTATTTAGGAATTTTAGATGCTTTCAATTTGAACATAGAACTACAGAATTTATGAGTCAGGCATATTTTATAAACTTTTACCACAGTTCTTTTTCTGGAATGATTTTAAAATGCCTAAAAAAAGAGAGCATTGCAAAACATTAGTTATTCTAGGTACAATATCAAAAATGTGTAAGTTTGTAATGGTAAACAACCTTATTAAGGCATGGCATTTTTAACACAGTATCTATAAAATTCACTATATAATATAAAAGAAAACTTGAATAAAAATGATTGAAATATGTTCTTACATGAAACTAAGTTAAACAATAAAAAAACTGTATTAAAAAATAATTTTGGTTACTGCCGCAAGATGATTAGTACTTAAATATGACAATTTAGTAAAAACTTACCCCACTTTAGGGAGGTTCAGTAATTTTAAGAAAAGAGATACATGCTCAGAGGATTTCTGAGAGAGATTAGGAAAATTCTTGGTAGGAAAATAGGAAGATACAGAAATAGACACCTGGAGAGAAGTTCTAGGAGTGAACAGGGGATGAACACATAGGTCAAGTTAGTAAATGTACTAATTTTCATTTCTCCAGAGTTTAAAAAACTTAACTAAACCTGTGCAGATTCTGCCTGCTACATTCTTAAAGGCTCCTTAACGTGATTTGTTCCTGTACTATCTTTTTTTAAATCATTTTTCAGCTTTTCAACTGCTTTACACAGATACTTTTGCTCTTTTAAAAATGTAATTTTTGAAAAGATTTCTAATTTCTTTCAGCTTTTTTCCCCATTTGTGTATCAGTGAATATGTGTGGCATTTGGGAAATGACATCTTCCTTTTGTGGTGCATTTACTTTGCTAAAGCCTTTGTACTTTTTTTTTTTTTTTTTTTTTTTTTTTTTTCCTGTCTTTTTGAGACTCGCCATGCAATTCAGACCAGCCTTCAACTCTGGAATCCAGGCTGGTCTCCAACCCCCAACAGTCGTCCTGCCCCAGCCTCCCAAGTGCTGGGATTACAGGTGTGCCCCACCACACCCATCTCCTTAAATATTTTTGAAGCACTTTCTAATTGAGGCATTCTAAATCCACTTACTATATTAAAGACTGGTAATTTGCATTTTATGGTTTGTAAAGTACAATCTTTCTGTATAGTACAAATGCTTTTTCCATTAAGGTAAGGGTAGGTACTGTCTCCAAAATAACTAGAATACTTGTTTGTAATAGCAAACTTATTATTTGTTTACTATTTGTACAACTCTATTCAGTCCTGACCTAGATCCCCAATCTTTCAAAGGAATGTATGGCAGAGATTAAATAAAAAGACATAAAACTGTATGATTTTTAGGACTCCAGGAGGGTCAAAACCCTTTAGCTGAGCTCGTGAGTTTGAGGGCTATGCCAAAGCGTTCTCTGGATTGGCCCACTTTTATTAGGACTAAAACAAAGGTGGGGAAACTGAGGAAAGCACAGGAAATGAGCAGAACCTTGGGGATCACTTCACAGACTTCCCTAAGTAGTAGGTAAAGCTAATTTAGGAGAACCATCTTATCTCCAAGATGACATTTATGGTAGGATTGAGACTGCAGGAGTGAGATGCCTGCAGCTGCCTTCTCTACTTAATTAATGTTGGAGCCAAGGTGTCTTCAGCTATGGCCTTATCTAGCCCTTTGAGGTATCTCTGGCCTCACAGGCCACTATAGGCGTCAGCCAGGAATATTCCTGAGGTTCACTTACTATAAAGCAGCTCCATTGCCTGGCCGAGGCCTAGGACAGACTTACAGGTAAACATAGAAAGCCAATTAGTGAAATTTAAATCCTGCTCAGAGCTGCTAGGTATTGCAACACAGCTCTTTATAAGGAATGAAAATCTTTTACTTTCTTTACATGCTACTCCAGCTTATGCCATTGGTCTTGCTTTGTAGAATAATTAAAACCTCAGCACATTTTCAGGTACTTCCAGTAACAGTAGTTAATTCCAATACATAGATTTCATGATTCTTTTTTTTTTTTTATCTTTTTAATATCCTTGGAGGTAGAGGCAATGACCATGCCAAAATTTCAAAGTTGTAATCTGATCCTGGCTCGTCTCTTATTAGCTGTCTTAAAGTATTTCCCCCGTTCATTTCCCACTTGATGGTAGTGGATGGTGGTGCGAACCAGCAAGAATTTGGGTATTTGAACTCTCAAAGTGTTGCTTTATGCCTGAGCTGCTATAGTAAATAGCAGTGGTTATGTTTTTTAGGGAATAGATCTATGACGGGGGTGGTAGAAGTTAGTGGATCTGCAGTAAATCACAGCACCATGCCATTGTTAGTAATTAAAACTGTCACTTTCCATTATATTACATTTTCCATATTTTTGTATTCCTGAGCTGTCAGTTTATTTTCATCTACTACTTTTCAGTCTTCTAGTCTAAGATGCACTGTTTTTCCTCCATAGATAGTTTCCTTTCTAGACTGCTGTTAGCCAAGATAACTTTTGTAGTTGCATCAGTGTTATTGTAAGTGATTCAAATTTGCATAACCACACACAGCTACTCTGTTGGACTGTCTGTCTATATTCCGGGACCTTGTCTACCATGCACGGCCAGGCTGCACGTGCTGAACAGAATTTAATGAAATCTTAGAGATGCTGGCCAGCACACTTTCATGATAGCTAAACTAATTCTTTTCTTTCAGGTGGTTGATTTACTGAGATACTTTTCCTGGGCTGAGCCTCAATTAAAAGCAATGAAGGCATTACAGCATGTAAGTTAAGTTATTTTTGTTTAGAATGTGGAATTTAAGTAACGTTATCTTTCAGTTTTCCATAATTCATCTCAAACAGCCTACATGTCCGTCAGCAGATGAACAGATAAAGAAAACATGATATTACAGCAATAGAATACTGCTACGCCATGAGAGACATTTGAATTGCTTTGGGAAAGTGGGTGTGACTTGGGTGAAATAAGTCGGTCCAACAAGCTTCAGTGTCGCATGATGTCTCTTATTTGAGAAGCTCAAATTATAACTAAAGAGCAAATTAAAAGACAGGGAATAGGAAGTAGGGTGATAGATCTTTCTTAAATAGGAAGGGAATTGAGATGGCGGGGTAGGAGGAAAACAGGATAAAAAGAATTAAGTACCATTTCCATACAAGCAATGTAAACATATACTAAGCACATACACTAATTTAAAAAAACTTACAAAATTTTATGTTTGGTATAAGTTGCAAGTACTATGTTATTAAATTAAATACCACAGTATCGTAATTGACCAATAGGAGGGAGAGTACTCATTACCAAGCAAAACAAAGGAATTGAATTACATATTTTTAGACACTTTCTTTTATTGTTTAATATCCATCTTCATCCTCTTACACGTAGTCTAAGAAGAATTATCAGATTATAGTTATATGTTGTTCTTTCAGCTTATACTGTCCAAAATATTTCAGTGATAATGGAAATCTGTATTTGTACAGGCCATTCTGGTGGCCGTGTGGCTGTCGAATACTTAACAGTGTACGTAGTCAATTTGAGAAACTGTATTTTTAGTTCCATTTCATTGAAGTTGCTTAAATGGTCTCAAGTTCCTAGTGGCAGCTGCATAGGGTAACACAGTCTAGAACTTAGATCATCCAGGGGCATTTAGATCAAACAAGAGTATCTTACTATAGAGGAAGATTTTCTAACAAGTAATAGGCATGGACAGGTTTAGCAGAAGCAGTTTAGACTGATGGGCCTAGCAGAGTGTCTGGGTCTGGTAGTGCTTTAACAGAGACTTCTCTTTTATGAAAGAAAGAGTTCTGTCTTATCCAGTGGGAGTAAAAGTCTTTTTCTCATACCACAGACAAGCAATGCAAAGAGCTGTATAAGAAATATTGATGAGGACTTCGCCTTATTTTATCAGCACAACAAATTCATAAGAGCTTTGAGGCCCACTTGCCTGTCTACCTACTTTAAAATAAAATTCTGAGTTGAAAGTTTATGACAGAGACAGATCAGTACATTTACTTGTATTCTCAGCTTCTCTGGCAGACTTGTTTGTATAAGTTGTATAATGAATATTTCTGTAAATTAAATGAGCTAAATAGTTCTAAGGATTTTACAAATACATAAATATATGTAAGAAAATTTGTTTTTATCAGTTTAAAATATGCAAAGGAGTACTTATTTTTATCATCGTTTTGGTAGTCCGTTAATAGAAGTGTCTGAAAGCAATTTCAGAAACCTTGCTTTGTTGCAGTACATGTAGCAGAGAAGGCTGTTTACCTCAGTGTTCCCAGCTTGTGTGACTAGTGGGCTCTTTCTCATGTGACCTGAACACCAAGAACCACACTCTTTGGGGAGTGTTTACACATGGCACACCTACTGTCACCCAACTGATACACAATTTTCTTCTGATCTATATGAATAAATGCCACCTTTTGGAGGAAAATACTTGTTAATATGTTTGAGTCTATACATTAAAACATTGAGAAAAATGGATTAAAATGGGATTGCAAGATAATTTGATCTTTATCTGAAATATTACATTGAAAAACATGACGTATTTTTAGAACTTCTTTTCGAGTTACTGGGATTTATACTTACATGAATAATTTATCCTTAAATGTATAATATTTCATCTAAAGTGTTTATGTTAATAATATTTAACTATATTTTCCCAAAAAGGGAAATACCTGGTGTAAAACTTTTGTGTTGAAAACTAAATGTTATTTTTTTTTTATGTTAATAGAAAATGGTGGCTGTTCACCCAGCAGAAGTAGTCAATATACTCAATTGTTTCACTTTCAGTAAAGACAAGCTAGTTGCTCTTGAACTGTTAGCTTCGTAAGTATTTCTTTTTTCTGTTTCTTCAAATTTGGGTGCTTTTGTAGCTGCTTCTTAACTCATTGATGTCTATTAAATAATGTGTTAGAACTACGTAAGTAAGTGGAGCTCTGATAAAATATAGTCAGTGAAAGAGTAGTGATAAATTCTGATTTTGTATGCGTAAATACCCAGGGTACTTATTAAATACAGGATTGTTACTTACGAAACAGTAGGGCTTATGAAGATTATTCAGTCTGATTTTTCTGCATTGCAGTAACTTGCTTTGCCTTCATATTCTGGAAAAACTTAAAGTGGCAAGTTGGAGAAGTCATAAGACTTTGAGAGTTAGATAGAAGTTCTGCTGTTTACTGACATGTTTCTGGGCAGGGTGTCTTTATTTTCTGAACCTTGTTTCCCTCACTGCTAAAAATAAGAATAGCAACTACATAGGTGGGTAACGCAGTTTAAATGCTGTAATCTTGTTTGAAAATACCTAGTGCAACATTTGATAGGCAGTCATGCTGAATGAGCTTAAAGAGAACAGGAAGGGTCCAATTCTTAGCATTACTGAAGAACGTAAGTTGTTCTTTTATAGGGTGTATATTTTAAAGTTGCTTATATACTTGTGCATGTCTGTTAAAACAGGATAAGGTAGAACTTGAATTTTAGATCAACCATGATTTTTAATGCATTTAACACAGGGGTGATTCTGTTGCCATAGCTCTCCTACCATGCATTGAAGAGAATATATTTTCAAGACTCACAAAATGTTTTTGGTACTGGTGGTTAAACCCAGACCCTTATACCTGCTAGGCAAGCACCTCTACCACCAGCCCCACTGAGCTCTGCCCTCAGCCCTTATTTAAATTTGTTCTGAGACAGGATCTTACTAAGTTGCTCAGGCTGGCCTCAAACTAGCAGTTCCCCTGCTTCACTGCCCACACATCTATATTCACAAGGACACACTGCTGTCAAAATAATCATTGTTTATAGTATTACTTTATAACTTTACAGTAATCAGACGATTCAGTTATATTTATCAGCCATATAAACATATTACTTTTGTATAAATAGTGAAGTGGCCTGATAAAAGTAAATAGTCCCATTTTCCCTTTGTGTCATGGGAAACATTTACTCAGATATGTCTGCATAAGGGAAAGTTGCTGACCTTTGTATATGTGGCCTTATTTTTAAGCAAAATGCTAAATCGTGGTTCCTTGGTAGGAATATTGTTGACGCGCAGAATTCACGTCCCATTGAAGATTTATTCAGGATAAATATGTCTGAGAAGAAACGTTGCAAGAGAGTACTTGAACAGGTAATTTTCTGAAGCTTGCCATAAAAATGGCACTGTGGTTTTTCTGAATGTTGTGAGTAGAAAAGTGCCCATCTTCCTGTGTTAGCTCCGGCGAATAATGTGCAGGCTTAAGAGTGCAAAGCCAGATGGCCCCTTCCCTGAACTTCATAGTGTTCATGTCTTGGTCCCTGGCTAGTGCTCGCCACAGTTCCAAGCCTTTGTTTTTAACTTCATGGATTTCGGAACTTGACTTTTGAGATTGACTTTGTTATTAAGCTTATGTTGATCAGATTTACAAGAAATTAATACTAAAGCAAAGTTTCACTGTTACTAGTTTAAGATTTACAAAAGTTGGGTATAACATTTTTCCATTCCTAGAAAACTTGATTCATAATTTAAGGTAGTAAGCTCTTAAGATTTTGTTGCCTGTAAACTGACTGAATAATTGGAAACCAGCTTGAGGAGGTCGCTGATTGGTGTGTTTTAGTGTTACATTTTTAATAATTGGTGTCCTGGGCCTTGCACCTCATACTGCTCAATCCTTCTCAGCACCTTCTCTAAGCTCAGGGAGGGCAGGCAACTCTGCCTTAGTCCTGTGTCACTGCAGTGGAGGTAAGGTCTAAGCCAGGATGCTTTACTTTAATAATGTCCTCATTTGTTTTCTTGATTAAAATCTTTATGGCAATAAACATATAGTGTTGTAGTTTCCTTCCTTATAAAGCATATTCTGGAACTTTTATGTTCTGTGGAAGAGGTCTCTCATTAACGTAAGTTAGTACAGCTTTCCACAAGGTAAACTTGAAGAGCCTTTAAAATAGTCATATCTGTTAGCCTGAAAGTTCATGCCTTTTAGCCTGGAAAATTTGTTGTATAGAAATAAATAGAAATATATAGTTCATATATAAGCGTTTTCAACTATTTATAATAGCCAAAAAGTTGAGATTTTTTTCTTAGTTACTTAGGGAGGCAGGTCACATAACTCATATAATTATATATGTTGTGAATGGAGTAATAAAACTAATATAATGATATGAAATATATATGTGTGTAACAAATACTTGTAAAATATATTTTTATGTAATTATAAAGCTACATATATATAGTTTTATAACTATCCAACATAAATATAGCTATATGGTTCTATAATACATCCAGAACTATTGGAATATTTTATGGTGATTTTCGTGAATTTAATACATATTACCAACTTGGTATGTGTGAGGCTTCATTTCAGAAGCTTAGGATGTAATAAAAAATAATCTGTACCCAACCCCTTCCATCATTGTTGCATAACTGTGTCATATTATAATGAAAATTATGTCCAAATAATTCTTGTCTATTCAGAAGGATAGCTGTTTGGACACTCTGTGTTCTGTTAAGTTGTGTTTTTCTGCTAAGTTGTAACTTCTTCAGAGCAAAGAGGTGTCTCTTTCATCTCTGTATCTTCCTTACCTTCCCCATACAATGAATTTATTATTTATAAATTTGAACTATGTTATTTCTTGATGATTGAAGAAATGAAACATTAAATAACAAGATTTTTGCCCACAGTTTATAGAACCAGTTATGAGGATATCTTTGTTTAAAGCTCTGCAACATTGACAGTATATAGTGTTAACTTTTTTAAAATTCCACTTAGAATGATTCTGTTTTTTAGGACATTTAAATGCAAAATGGTATGTGAAAAGATTGAATGTATTTAGTGGGGCTTCCCAATATCCAGACTACTTTGATGTGTGTGTGTGTGTGTGTGTGTGTGTGACTTTGTTCCTTTTTACATTGCAGGCTTTCAAGGGAGGTTGCAAAGCTCCCCATGCTATGATATCTTCTTGTGGGACAATCCCAGGAAATCCATATCCCAAAGGAAAACCTAGTCGTATAAATGGAATTTTCCCAGTAAGCATACTTTGATGGCTGTATATGGAATTTCTCATTACGGTTATATTGTAAGTTAATGATATTTAAGAGAAATACCAATTAATGGTGCGTCTGCAAAGGAAGGGAGTTTCATCCTGTTATCAGCATAATTCCTGGATTCAGCATCAATTCAAAGTTCTTGTGTAAACTCCATTTAATGTATTTATGTAAAATCTTCAGAACAAGGTAAACAAGATGATTTGTTTTGTTTGGTTTTCAGGTATTTTAGAAATATCGATTTACATTTGGTAAAGGAACATTTCTCAGATTCTCTGCATTTTTCACACAGTTGTACTTTTTAAGAATATTTGAGAAGAAACTTTCCACACAATGTCCTTCCTGAGAATCACATTGTGTAATAGAGCTGCGGAGAAGTCCTGTAAAAAAGAAACTTGTTTTTAGTATCATGCAGTGCTTTCAAACTAAGTAAAATAATTTTTTAGACTTTCAGTTACTGACTAACAAATATCCTAGGAGTGTTGTGGATTAAAACAGTGAACATTTATTATCTCACTTAGTTTTTATAGGTCAGAAGTTTGGGATTGGCTAAACTGGTTAGTTTTTGATAGGGGTTTCTTGAGAATAAATGTATTCATCCAAATGCTTGATTTGAAGCTCAACAGTGTATTTTTAAGGTCACTCATTTCTCTGTTTACCAAGGTATTGTTTGTTGGCTGGAAGGGTTTGTTGGTTGGTTGGTTTGTTTGTGCACAAGGACGTTTTCCATAGTGCTGCAAGAGTATCCTAAGACAGCAGCTGGCTTCTGTTGGTTCAATAGTCCAAGAGAGGCCAAGTGGAAATTTCAAGGCCTTTCATGGCTTTGAGTTTGAAGTTGAATGCCATCCGTGGTGCAGTACTCTGTAGTTACGCAGGTCAGCCTTATATGTTCTGAAACAGGACTACATAAGAGCACTGAGAGATGGGAGGTCTCCTGTAGGTTGATTTGCACATCAGTGGATACCGTTTAAGGATGCACACAACCCTGAAGACACACTGTTACAGTCAGTCTTTTTCCTGACTTGTTAATTTTAAGTCTTTGGTAGATGATTTGCCCTTGAAAATGTGAACAATCACACATACGTTTTCAGAGGACTCTATTTTGTCTATCTTCAGCTGTAATACAGGTGTTCTGTTTCATTCTTTAAGCATTGTTTATGCTGTGACACTTTAAGTCAATGGCTGGTTTCTCTTTTTTTATGGAAGAAACAAATGAGAACACAACTTATACTTACTTCCCTCTGACATCCCCTCTGTGTATTGTGGTTTTGTTTCCAAGTACCTCTGGTGGTACTGTGAAGGTTCCATGACAGGGGAGGTTAAGAATCCTACCAGGGTTGTACAGCCAGCCAGAGCAGAGTTGGGCATGGAACCTGAGTTTTATTCCTACCAAATTAAATCCTTGTCTTCATAATACTCTGGTGGTTATTTGTTGGGTTTTTAATTTGGTTTTGGTTTTGTTTTGTTTTTAAGTTGTAATTTTTTATTTTATTTTTAAACAGGGAACCCCTTTGAAAAAAGATGGTGAAGAATGTACGAATGAAGGCAAAGGAATAGCTGCACGGATTCTTGGACCATCCAAACCAGTATGTCTAGGAAATATGAGATAAAACAAGTTTTAATTCTTAATGCAATTTTCTGTCTATTCAAAGAATAAGATAGGTTGTTGTGTTGCAGAGTTTCAGTATAGAAGAAATTCCATGGGAGAAAGGCCTAGGGCACAAACTGGTCTCATGTGGCTCTGCAATTGGTCACCACTGGCCTGGGGAAAGTCAGTATAATTAGAAGTGTTGCGAGCCCTTTTGAAGTTACATGTTTTGTTTTAGAGTGAGATCAGTTTTTTCCTCTTGCTATATTTACCTGTTCAATTATAATATAGAGTGAGGTGTTTTAATTAAAACAGATTTTGGTTTGCTTGAATCAGTGTTAGTAAAACAAAAGTACAGTCAAGTGGTCGAAGCCTTCAAGGAGTGACTGATTAGGACGTAAAATGGACAAGCGAAGACAGCCTCATGTGAAGCATTGCTGCAGATGGAGGGCGAGAGCCCTGTACGCAGCCCCCTCGCAGTCCTTGCCCATTCACATAAGAGAATTCAGTGACCATTGTTTGTAGACACGGAAAGAAACCCTTCCTCCCCTGTGCCACACTTCTGCTGTAAAGGAGGGTGCTCTCTAGGTAAATGGACAGAGTGTGGGTTGATGTATTTTTGGTTCTCAGATAAATACCATTAACTATGTGTGATTTGTGGACTTCAAAAGAAAAAAAGAACTAAAATAATAAATTTCTTATCCATTGACCATTCGGTGACAGTTGTCAGAATTCAAATAGAAAAGCAAGCACTGCTTTTATCTCCCAAAAAGGAAAAAAGGATGGGAATGATAGGTTGAATTTCTAATGAGTTGAGGAGGGGATTGCCATTGTAGTTGTTATATAAGGAGGATTCCAAAATTAGCCTAGTTCTGTGTGATTGACTAAGGTGGAGACAGCAATTCTTGGATTAACATAGGCTAGATCAGAGAGATGTTTCCTATTTAGGATAAGATCTGACCCTTCTTTGCAGATGATTGGATACTGAAATAAAAAACACATAGTCCTCTTTGGCAGGACCCAAACACCTTTGGAATTTGATAGAAACCACTCTTAACTAAAACAAATTTCCTTCATTTGTCTTGTGTTATAATGTAGTAGTCTTAAGACTAAGCATGTGGATAAGTTTCATTTTGTTTGTCCAGGATGCAGCTTATTTGATTTTCTTCTAACTGCTATTCCTTCTCCCTTGTCTAGCCTCCTTCAACGTACAATCCGCACAAACCTGTTCCTTATCCAATACCTCCATGCCGGCCACATGCAACTATTGCACCAAGTAAGAAGTCCTTTAATTTCTACTTCGTTTTCACTGTTTGTGTATTACATTGAAAGTAAGTACCAGAGTTAGTGCCTAGAAAATCTGTAGCCCTTATGAAATTTATGAAAGTTTAATCTTGCCCACAGTCTGCAGCTCGCATCCAGCTACTAGTAGCCTCTGCAGCAGTCAGTTTACTTAGGGTATTTTACTTATGATAAATTAATTGCACATTGTTTCTATTTATTTATTGTTACAAGTCTTCACTTTGTTAAGTAATCCTCAAACCCTTCTTTTGGTGGTTGATGCAGAGAAGCATCATTAATGCATTTAGTTTAAAGGGTCAGGTACATATGCCTAAATTTGAGTATGATGGGTGCTGCCTGCCTTACTGTTGAGTGAGCTTATGCTTGGAATGGCACCCATTGGGAACTAGGAGTTACCTGTTAGCTCACTGGTCTATATTTTCAATTAATCCTAGACTCTGATTTCCGTGTAAGATCCAACTCTTCCATGAAAGTATTGAATATAGATTAGAATGTTACAGTAATACGGTTTGCTCCTAGTCACAGAGCGATGCTAAATTATAGGTATGTTTTCCTTTTTATATTTTTACTTTAGGTGCTTACAATAATGCAGGTCTGGTACCGTTAGCCAATGTCATAGCTCCAGGTGTACCGCCTCCACCTCCATATACTCCTAATCCAGTAGGAACAGGTAAAGTCATGTTGTTATGTGGTGTTAAAATAAGTCACTTATTCATGCATAGACATCCATTTGGAGGGGGCAGTTGTGTCATGTGATGTGTCATAACAGTGAGAGCACAAGTTCAAGAGGCTGAAGTCTGAATGTGAATCCTTGGAAGCATCAGACAGCTTTCATAGTCTCGATGGGCTTCCATTTTCCCATCTGTGATGCAGAGTAACACTTTAATACTACTGTTCAACTGGGCGTGCTGGTATATACTTGTGGTCCCAGATACTTGGGAGACTGAGGCATAGGGGTTGCACATTTGAGGCTGGCCTAGCAACTTCACCAGATAATGTGTTTTATGCTGGGGATTCAAGGTACACAAACAAGCCTGTACAGAGTTTGCAAACTAATGAAAAATACAGGTAAGGAATGCAAAACAATTTCAGTATATTGTACTTCCTTAGTTCAGAATTGCACACTATTTTATGGTTTAATTTTCCTAAACTTGGAATATGGTTTGCAGCAGATGACACCTTAGATTTTGAGAAAAGGATAGAGTGAGCAATACTGTGACAGTTTGCATATGCAAAAATAAATGTGAACTGCTTGTGTAATAATAATACAGCTAAAATTTGTGGACTCAGTAGTATGTCTTCCATTTAACTGAATTAAATTGAAGAACAGCTAAGAGATGAATAATAAGATGTTGTATGAAGAATTGCAAAACAACAATTAGGTGGTTTTTTTGTGACCCAGAGCTATTAAGTATTTGTTAAAAGCATCCTCAATTCCGCACTTAAGAGATGGGGATTCAATGATTTAAGGGAGGGGTGGTATCTTTATTTTTATGATCTCCAGGTGGTTTTTATCTTCAAGCAAGTTTGAGAAATACTGAAATCTACATTCAAAGAACCCAGAAAGGATCAGAGTATCTGGCTTTTTCAAGACTGCTAACTACCAAATTTAAGGCACTAAGGCACTTTCTACCTCTAAATCTTTATTGAGAATCGTTGGGCACTTAGGGTAGATGCTTATCTGACTCTCCAAAGGAGCTATGGAGAAACTAGAATCACTAGATGAATACTTAGGGAGTTGGGCCAAGGATTCTTTGCTCAAAGACAGTTTATCCTGAACATATTGGTAGGGCCTGCAGGAGGTGGATTGGATATCCCATGCTGGCAGAAGATGGGAGGAAGTTACAACCAACCTGCGATAGCCTGAGTTCCACTGCCAGGTGACAGGGTGACCCCCTTCACTTTTGAATGACATTAAGGTTCCATTTAGGTGCCCTTGGTGGACTCTTAAGGTTCCACTTAGGTGCCAAATGTGGAAACACAAGCAAGTTGTAGAAAAAACCATTTCTCCTGAGCAGTATGACAGATCATAAAGAAGTTCAGATGCCATTCAGGCACCGTGGAGAAGGGCTTGTAAAAAAGAAAGGCTGATACTCCAGCACTTCCCATCTCAGTTTTTTCCTTTTAATCTATTCTGGACATGGAATATGAAGAATTAATATTTTTCAATATGTTACTAAACTGTTCTCCAAAACTGTACCAGTTCTCACCACCATGGAGAGAGTATTTAAGCAATTTCTTCACACTTTTTCAACATGGGACATTACTAGTTTCTTTTTTTTAAGGGGGATGTAAAATACAACAAAACAGAACAAAATGGGACATAAAAATGCAATGTAAGAGATAAATTTCAAAACTAGACGACCTGAGATCTTCACTGTTTATCATATTGTCTCTTATTTTCTTCCAAATAGTTGTTCATGTCTTTGCATACAGAGAATTCATATAAAACATAGTATAAAACTGATCCAAACAGAATGAGGAAGGCATTTTAGGTCTTCAAAACCAGACAATAGTGAAGTCACTAATGGCTGTCATAGTCTCTCATTCTCTTCAAGATAGCTGTCCATACTTTCATGTATATTGAAGTTCAGCAAAACAAAACAGGCAGACGGGGAGGGCTTGCTTGGCTTCCCGGTGCTGCAGGTCCCAGCATGGCACGAGTCCCAGTAAACACCAGTGGCTCCTGTCCTGGACCAGCAGAGCCTGCCACGCTCACAGCCACTCACGGGCAGGGTGCAGAGAGGGGTGCTGCTTTAAGCTGTTTCTTCCTAATGAATTGACCATTTCAGTGCCCAAGTTCTGAAATGGCCAACAGCTCATAGAAAGACATCTCTTTCAGCTCCTGCTTGAAACCGACAGCGTCAGGAAACTGCCGGCCTTGATTCAGGGCCAGTACATTACTAGTTTTTAACTTCACCAGTCTGATAGAATAATTTAGCTCACTAATTATTAATTATTAATTTTTAACTTGGCCAGTCTGATAGAATATTTTGGCTTACATCTTTGAGTGTATATTTTTACAAAAGTTTTGAGTTTCATTTAGGTCAGTTTATTTGATTCTTCTGAGTTTTGTAAATCGCATAGGATCCCCTTCCCTGCCCCAACACTTTGGGAATGTCTTACATTTGCTTTAACTCTGCTTTCCTAGAAGGCAGTAGTGTGCTCATTCACATAGCCCCCACCTCCCACCCCCTAGTCCTCCACTCTTGTAGGTAGTCCTGCCTGTAGTGGGTGTTGCTAGCTCAGACAGTATCTGCTCTGACACTGAGCAGAGCTGTACTTTCTTTTACAGGCTGGTGTCTTTCCAGAAAGGGTTAAGTTTATAAAATTACAGTATGTATTTGAAACCTAACAAGGAGAAAACAGCAGGGTAGGACAAGGTGGAGGGAGAAGAAAGAATAATTGTTAGTAATCTTCAGTGTTCATAAATAATATTTTTATTGGTGTATGCATACATTATATTTCTAACTATTCATTTTTGATACCTGTCTCAGATGCTTAGTGTGTTGGATAATTTGATTAAAATTGAAGTCAACTTTTATTTGTTTACTTTTTAAAATTATGTATTTACTTTTGTGTAGAAAATGAAGATCTTTCCAATCAGTCAAAACCTACACAGAATCAAAGTAAGTACCAAATTTGATCCTGAGATTACTATCTGTCATGGTTATCTGCCTTGTTAAGCACTGAGAACAATTTGAGTTGAATGTATTTGGGATTTTTCAGGAAAAGTTCTTGATAAAGGATATCACAACTTACTAAAAGTGGCCTGATACTGCTATGTTTTATTACCATGAAATGCACATATTAACTGGACTTAAAATTAATCTTATAATTTTGTATCCTATTTGCAAAACTTGCTATCTGGAATCTATGTCTGTGTCCATGTTTTGTATTCTGACATTGGAAGCTTCATTTCTTTTTTGACACAAACATATAGGATAATAAAAATCATTTGATACAAGGTAGATCAGCTGCTACTTTAAGATTTACTTTTTCAGTAAGTAGTATTCAACACAGCTTAATGTAGAAAGGAATAAAAGTCCCCAGACCAGAAAGCGGCACTGGAGGCCCAGGTGATGCCTCCAGGTGGCAGCAGCACTTAAGCATGTCATTGCCCCCCCATTTGAGGGTGTATGTGACCAGGCAGGCGGTGCGTGCTGGTATGGCACAAACACTGGCATCAGTTCTTTACACAGCAAAGTAGTACACAAGTCTAATTATTAGGCACAGGGTTATGAATCTCAGTGGGAAATTCCCTTCCCTGAGGACGGGTACTAATGAGTACTTTTGAGTTGGTTTCTAAAGGAGGTTTAGAAAGCATTGTGGGTTGGAAAGAACACTAAGATTTCAGGATATAGGGGGCAGCCTCAGATACAGCCACCTTGTACCTGACAGAAGAGTGTTAAAGGGAGAACACAGACAGAGTGAGGTTAGAGTGTGAGGACCAGGGCAGAGGGCTCCTGCCTCCCTTCGGCAGACATCCCCAAGTGACTGGCATCCTGGCTTCATTCACTCAGGCCAGGCACAGGCGATCAGAGGGAACAGGGTTCCGCTGTCTTCACCATTCCGTGGTGCGTACCTGAGTAAGCAGCAGGGTCCTGGCTCTGTCAGTTTGCCTGCCCACGTTAGCGCACACTCACGTGCCCACCTGCAGGGCTCACACCAGAGGCCATTTAGACCTTACTCTTCCTGTCTGCTCGGTCTCCCATCAGGACATCTAGTTTTTTATCCTGGCTTTGTAACCATTTAGCTTTTTAACCTTGAACAGGTGTTTAACTTCAATGAAAAGGAGATGAAGCAAACTTCAGTCTTTTGTTTTACTTCACTAACAATTCTATTTTGGAAAGAGGTAACCAGATTAAATGTTACAGTACCACTGATAATAGTAGGGTACTTTGATTACTTATACTCTGTCACTTGAGCATGAGTAAGAAATTAGTTTTTGTTTCATCTTTTGGAACCTTGTTAAGAGAATACAGTTTAAAAATAAACTCTTGCCTGCTTAAGAACATGGGTCTGACAAATCAGAATAATGGAAGCCACAACTGAAATACACAGGAGCTGATTGTACCTGTCACTGATTTTCTTTGATATTTGTGAAATATGAAGAAAATTGTTGTGCATTTCTTTTGAGTTCGAATTGGACATTTTGGTATGATGATAAAGTCTTGCCCTCTTTTTTCTCCCACAGCATTTTCCACCCCAGCAAGTCAACTCTTTTCACCTCATGGCTCTAACCCTTCAACACCTGCTGCAACTCCTGTCCCCACCGCATCGCCTGTCAAGGCAGTAAATCACCCATCAGCATCAGTGGCTGCCACCATTGCTGGAATGAATGTACCAAATGCTGTCCTTCCTGTGTTCCCAGGACAGGTCTCCTCAGCCATCCATACACCTCAGCCTTCGATGCCAAACCCCACAGTGATCAGGACCCTTTCATTGCCTACTGCACCTGTAACTTCCATCCACAGTACAAACTCTGCTCCTGTCCCTTCCATTTTTTCTGGCCTAGTGCCATTGCCAGGTCCTACTGCTCCTCCTGCCCTGACCCCTCAGGCTATGTCTGCACCTCGGTCCACTCTTGCTTCCAGTGAAACATTTGCTTCCACTTCTGCTCCGTACGCTCGCCTCTCCTTTTCCACCAACACTACTGCTGCTTCTACCAGTAACCCCAATTCTGCCTCATTGTCATCGGTTTTTGCAGGTCTCCCCTTGCCCTTAACGCCAACTTCCCAAGGTGCAGTCAACCCAGCTCCCTCTGTGATTACTGGTGGTTCTGCTCCCAGTGTTGCTGGTTCACTTGCAATAAATAATCCTCTTTTATCTGCTTTAAAAGGCTTTCTGACATCGAATGACACCAATTTAATCAACAACTCTGTTTTGTCATCTGCTGTTACAAGTGGGCTGGCTTCGTTATCTTCTCTTCCTAATCAGAGTTCTGATTCCCCTGCCGCAGCCCCTAGCAAGTGCTATGCCCCATCAGCCCTTCCTGCCCCACAGAGATCTTCTACTCCTGGGCTGGCCTTGTTCCCAGGCCTGCCGTCTCCTGCGGCTGCCTCCACCACCACTCCCCCTACGCTGCCTGTGCAGTCTCCTTTGGCTGCTGTTACATCCACTTCAGCATCAGTGCCAGTGAGCTGTGGCTCTTCAGCTACCCTCTTGCATGGCCCCCACCCAGGCACTTCAGACCTGCACATTTCATCCACCCCTGCTGTGACAACTCTTCCTGTTATGATCAAAACTGAGCCCACCAGTCCCACTCCCTCTGCCTTCAAAGGCCCATCTCATCCCGTGCACCCTCCTTGTGGCACTTTAGGCTTGTCAGGGACGCTGGGCCGTGCGTACACTTCTACATCCGTGCCCATCAGTTTATCTACTTGCCTTAATCCCGCACTGTCAGGTCTGTCCAGCTTGAGCACCCCCTTAAATGGCTCCAATCCCCTGTCCTCCATTGCCCTTGCACCGCACGCTTCCTCCGCTCCCATTGCTCCGGTGTTCACTGCGCTTCCTCCGTTCACTTCTCTGACTAATAGTTTTCCTTTACCTGGCAACCCCTCTCTTAACCCACCAGTGTCTCTTCCAGGGTCCTTAGTAACCACCTCATCCGGCTCCGCCACCTCCACAGCCATGCCTCCTCCCAGCTCCGCTGCGGCTGTTCTCTCAGGGCTCCCCGCTTCCGCACCGGTCTCGGCAGCGCCTTTCCCCCTCAACTTGTCTACTGCTGTGCCCTCGCTTTTTTCAGTTACCCAAGGACCTCTGCCCTCCTCCAACCCTTCCTACCCCGGCTTCTCCGTCTCTAATGCTCCTAGCGTTACCCCTGCTCTCTCTTCGTTCCCGGGACTGCAGCCGCCCTCCACCGTCTCAGCTGTCACACCACTGCCTGTCGCAGCCACGGCTCCCTCACCAGCGCCCGTCCTCCCGGGATTCGCTTCGGCATTTAGTTCTAATTTCAACTCTGCTCTTGTTGCACAAGCTGGGTATGTGAATGGTTTGCAAATAGGATAAAATTATTTGTCACCTAAGTTACTAGTTCCTGGTCTTACGTTATTCAAATGACAGTCAAAGTTGAATTATTTGATGGTCCTAAATTAATTTTTCTGGACCAAAATTTCAGTGCTAAAAACATTTCATGGCTCTTCAGTGATGATAAGATGAATATATAAATATCAATGCTTATTAACAATTTTAGGACGTAGTATTTGGTAATTTAACTTCATTATAGCAGAAGTTACTAGGTAAACCACAGATTTACTAAATTCAGCGTAATGCAATTTAATAGAAATTGAGTGGCTGATGTTACAGTTCTTTCCAAAGGATTTATATTTAGTAATTGGCTGTAGCAGAAAGTATTACATAAGCCAGATTTGTCAAATTCAGAATTAATTTAATTGAAATTGAGTGGCTGATTTCCTATTCTTTCCATCGGAGGATTCCAATTTAAGTTTTTGTTTTGTTTTTAACATCTTAAGATACTACTTGACAAATACGTAAGTGAACTGTCTTAGCTGCTGTGTCACCTGTTTTTCTGTCAATTGCAGTTTGTCATCTGGACTCCAGGCTGCAGGCAGCTCTGTTTTTCCAGGCCTCCTGTCCCTGCCAGGTATCCCGGGGTTTTCCCAGAACCCTGCACAGTCATCCCTGCAAGAGTTACAGCATAACGCAGCTGCGCACTCAGCACTGTTGCAGCAGGTGAGCAGGCAGCGTCTGGTGCAAGCGAAGCAGTTGTTCCGATACTAACATTCCCACACTGGCAAGAAGTAGCTGAGTGCTTCGCAAGATTGGCAAGTGATGCTTGTTTTCTTTTAGAGGAGTAACAAAGGTTACGCCGAAGTCAGTTGTGTGACTTATTTTTCATATTAGAGATTTTTAAAATCTCAATTTGTAGGTTTTGCTTAAAACGGAATCTTTTATGACACTTGTATTTTAACTTGTCCTCTATTTAAACTGTAATGAACCATTAAAGCAGATTGTCACTAGAAAACCTGTTGGGTTTTACTTGCAAGAGCAGTAAGTATTTTAATGGCATTTCTAACTTCCCCACCTGAAGAAGTTTTCACATCTTTTGAAATGTAGGGGACTGAGCAGACTTTGTCTTGCCCAACTTTGTTCTTTTCCTCTTTATCTGTAGCATACCATAGGTGAAAGCAGGTTCAGAGTTGATTGAATTAAACAGTCTTTGCTCTTTTCACTCAGGTCCATTCAGCTTCGGCTCTAGAAAGCTATCCAGCTCAGCCTGATGGCTTTCCAAGTTACCCCTCCACACCAGGAACGCCGTTTTCTTTGCAACCGAGCCTGTCCCAAAGTGGGTGGCAGTGAATATTTTTGAATTTTTATTCTTGGGAACAACATGAAATTTGCATAAGAACTGCAGTAAGAAATCTGACACGTGAAGTCAGCCAGCAGTCAGAAGAGGAAGATGAGCCTAGAAAAATTATGACAAGTGTGAAAATCCTAATTGCATTTTGAAAAATGGTTTTTGGTATAAATACTGTCCACTCCCTCATGTAAATATGCTGACAATAAATTGTAAGGGAAATAGTATTTAAAAAATTATTTGGGGACTTTCACCTCCCATCCTACAAAATTTTAAATCAAGTATGTGGTCTTCATAGAATATTAAAAGAGAAAAATGAATTCTTTATAGCCGAATACAGCCTTAAATCTGCTTGTATAGCATCCATGGACAGAAGTAATAGTTGTGCCTCAAATGGATGGGTTGCATGTGGCCCTGGGGAGTTACCTGCCCTTGGTATGCATGAGTGGTTCCTGTTAGTGTCAGTTGGAACTCAGTGTTCCACATAGATCCACAGAAAGGAACTGGAGACCCACTATTGTTTTTAATTTCTAATATTTATGGTCATACATACTGCTGAATTTTACTCATGTTTCAGGTAAGTGGAAATGGTGCTTAATTATGAATTATGTAGTCTCTAGAATGACTTTCAGGTGTTTTCAACTAAAACTATATATACAGAACTACTTTCTTACAGAAATACAAAGAAGGCTTCCTATGATACTTGCCTTCAGAACAACTTTTCCTAATCTCAGCAGTATCCAGATGAATGAGAGACACTTGGGCCACCTCTATGACTCATTGTACTCTGGAAGCTCTTGGTGAATGTTTACAATCATGGGATGTAGTATTTTTATTTGTATTTAAATCAAATGCTTATCTGAAATAATTATGTGACAGCAAATAGAGAAGACTTGCTCTGTTAGAAAAATAAGCATTGTGTACTCTATTTAAGGACCTATGATAATATAACATGATTGAATGTCATTAACTTAAGAGTAATAACTGCCACACTGGGGTGGGGGGATGGGAGAGAGAATTCCAATCCTGTGATTCACATGTAAACTAGAGAGTCTACTGTAGTGCATTTCAGCATCTAGAAGTTTTACTTTTATAAAGATGATGTCTGGAAGATGTTGCAAATGTATTTTCCTTCAACATGGGGAACAGACTTTTTAAGTATATTAAATATTCCTGTACGGTTAGTTTTTAACAATTTTTTAAAATAAACTTTATGGATATGACAAATACTTTGTAAGTGTTTTATTAAATGTTCAATTGTCTTTCTGATTTTTTGTATGTGTAGCAGCTAATGTATTGAATATTTTTTGTGTAAATCTAGTTGAAGCCCTATTTTACTGTAGATTGCCCAGTCCTTTAATTAATATCTTCTGCAAAAGTGGTGTCATAATCACTTAAACTAACTGATGCATGTCTTTAATGGGTTAAATTTTAATTAGTACATGTTTCAGTGTATAATGGTTTCATGGGAGTCCTGACGTGGACAGTAACTCACCTTAATTCTCTTTGCCCCCTCCCTGCTCCATTCTGTCATTTGCTCCTTTTCTCAATTCCAAAAGCTCTAGCTCTATGTTTTTAAATTTTCATGCCCCTCCCCTCCCTTCCTTTCTCTTATCTTTTGTTCCTCTTTCCATTTGAAAAAGATCTCCCAGTTTCGTATTACCTGTACCCAGAGTTAAAAGGGGAAGTTTTATTTATCTCATGGTTTTTAGACTGGCTCCATGTTGTTGGCATGGCATGGCAGGCGGGCATTGCAGAGAAGCAAGTTCATGGCAGGCAGAAGGTAGCAGAGCAAGCAAGGCACAGGGCAAGCCTCCTTGCATCCCTTATATCCAGTCTACAGGGATTACGGCAGTGCCAGCCAATCAGTGGACTGGTTTAGTAATTGCCCACCTTCGTCCTAGCATTGCATCATGAACAGTCACACCGGATCCAGCCACCTCTGGAGAAGCCCCACCTGTGGTTACTGCATAGGCTTTAAGGAAACATCTAGGCATTAGCCATACATCATATCAGAGAAACCATGTGATGTTTAAGCTTGTGTGTCTGCTTTATTATACTTACTATGGTCTCGTGCTACATCCACCTTCCCGTGGGTGACTTTTTTATCCTCCTTTGTGGAAGCATACAGTAAATACTGCATATTTTTTTATCTATTCATCTATTGATGGACGTACAGACTGTCTCCAAGATTTAACTATTACAAATTGTGCTGCTGTAAACATGGATACTCATGTATCACCATAATTCAATGTCTTGAACTCTAAGGAAAACAAAGAGTTACCTAGAAGGGAAATGGCTGGGTCAAAAGGAATTTCTGGTTGTAATTTTTTGAGAAATCACCATACTGGTGTTCTTAGTTATTATAGTAGTTTATATTCCTAGTAACAATGTGTTTGTTTTCCTGAAAAGCATCACCAGCATTTGTTATTACTTGATTTCTTGATCCTAGCATTTTTTTATGGAGTAAGCAGGAATCTCAGTGTTGTTGTAATTTGGATTTCTTGACTAGCCAGTGATGCTGAACGTATTTTCATGTACTTATTGGCCATTTGTATTTCTTCAGGGAGATGTCTATTCATTTTGGCTGCCCATTTTTGGATTGGATCTTTCATTTTGAGGGATTAAATTTTTTTACTTCTTTATTCCAGATGTTAATCTTTTGTCAAAGGAATAGTTGACAGTTGTTTTTCTCATCCTATAGGTTATCTCTTCACTCTGTTGTTTTCTTTGCTATGCAGAAACTCTTTAGGTTGATATAATTCAGTACATTGATTCTTGGTATTATTTCTTGGGGTTCTGTTCAGAAAGTCCTTGCCTAAACCTATGTCTTCAAGGGTTCCACCTATTTTATCTTCTAGCAGATTAGGTATTTTCTGTTTTAACATTTAGATCTTTGACCCATTTTGATTTTAGTTTAGCACATGATGAGAGATAACAGTTTAGATTCAGTCTTCTGCATGTGGATAACCAGTGTTCTCAGTCCCATTTATCGAAAGGCTATCTTTCCTCCAGGATGTATTTTTGGTCCGTTTGTCAAAGATGAAATAGCTGACGTGTGCCTGGGGTTGTTTCTGTTTGTTCTGTCCTGTTCTGTTGATCCACATGTCACTTTTGTTTTTGCCAGTACCATGCAGTTTTTAATTACTGTACTTTTGTAATGTAATTTCAAATCTGGGATTGTGATTCCTCCTACTTTCCTTTTACTAGAATTCCTTAAGCTATTCTGGGACTCTTCTGGTTCCATGTGAACTTTAAGATTTTTCAATGTCCGTGTTGGTGTTGGTATTCTGATTACAATAGCGTTAAATCTGTATCGGTTTTAGAAGTACAGTATAGACTTTTTCAAGAAACTCATGTTTTTCTCTTTATGTTCTTGCAAATAGGTGCATTATACTTATTTTTAAAATTTTATTTGTGCATACTGTAGTATATAATGTTAACTTTCCTTGTATGTGGTTGGTGGATTTTGGGGGGTCTTGTGTGTAGAGGACCATGTCATCTACAAATAATGGTGGTTTACTTTCCTGGACGTATCACTTAGTTCTGTTGTTTGATTGCCCTGACTAATGCTACAGTGACTGTTGAACAGGAGGGAGTGGTGAGAGTGGACACGTTTGTTCCTGATTTTAGAAGGAAAGCTTTCCTTTTTTTCTCCACTTAATACAATGTCAGCAGTAGGTCTGTCATAAATGGCTTTTATCAGATTGAAGTAAGGTCCTTCTCTACCTATTTTCTTCCTGAATGGATGTTAGATTTTGTTAGATTCTTTATCAGCATCTTTTGAGATGATCCTGTGATTTTAGTCTTGTTTAGATAATGGATTGCACTTACTGATTTATATATGTTGAACCATTCCTGCACCCCTGGGTTAAAGTCTGCTTGGTCATAATGTGTCATCTTTTTAATGATTTGTTTCATTGCTTGCAGTATTTTGTTGAGGATTTTTGCATCTATGTTCATTAAAGAGATTGGCCTATAGTTCTCTATTTTGGTTGGCTCTTTCTTTGGTTTTAGAAGCAGGATAATGCTATCTTCCAGGAATGTCTTAGGGAATATTCCTTCCCTAAAGAATTTAAAGCAGATCATTCGATCTTCCCTGAAGTTCTTGTAGTATTCAACAGTGAATCCAATAGGACCTGTTGCCCTATTGTTGGTAGATTTTTGATTACTGTCTTACTATTTCATTGTCCCTTACTGTATTGTTCAGGGTTTTTAAATCTTCGTTCAGTTTTGTTAATTCATTTGTATTTAGAGTCCATGTATTTCTTCTGAGTTCTCCAATTTATTGGTATATGGGTTTGTGAGATACTTGCTAATGATACTCTTTGTTTTGGGAGAGTCTTTTGTGATTTCACCTTTTTATTTCTAATTACATTGATTTAGTTTTTCTTTTTTGATAAGACTAACAATTTGTGTGTTTTATTATTTCAAAAAAACCTGTTCTATCCATTGATGGTTTCTTTTCTTTTTTGTCTGTGTTTCAGTGATTTCTGCTCTGGCTTTTATAATGTCCTTCCTTCTACTAGTTTTGGATTTGGATTGTTCTTTTTTTGTCCCTAGATACATCATTAGGTTGTTTATTTGAGCCTGCTCAATTCTTCTGATGTGGGCATTCATAGCTGTAAACTTTCCTTTTAGGACTGCTCTCATTGTGTCCCTCAAGTTCTGGTATATTGTACTAACATTATTGTTTAACTCTAGGAACTCATATTTCTTCCTTAATTTCTTTTTGTGACACATTGATTACTCAAGAGTGTGTTGTTTAGTTTCCGTGTGTATACAGAATTTCTGTGGTTTCTTTTGCCATTGAGTTCTAGGCTTATTGCACAATGATCTGATAATATGCATGGGATAATTTCAGTTCATTTGCTATCTATAAATATTTTTCACCCAGAATATGACCCTCAGTTAATATATCATTTGTGAGAAGTTAGTTAAGTCTGTGTTCTTAAAACTTTTAAAGATTGTACTGTACTGTAATACACTGTGACCATTCATTCAGAAAATAGATTGATTGAGTAATCTTTATACGGTGTGATGTTACTACTACAAGCTACATTTTTGCTATCCTAAGAGCTCCTTGAGCAGAAAGAATTATCTTTTTCACTTTATCTTTTAGATTAATTTCTCCAGTCTTGCACATACTGGATTTTCAAAGGTTTATACACGAAAAAAAAAAAAAAAAAACCAACGTTTTGAATGACCACATTAATGAATATAGGTACAAGTTTTATGTCTCTTCTCTACAGCATTGTGTGATAAGTAGTAACCTTGCTAAAGAAGCCACGATGTAACACAATTGAGAAAGAAGTAGATTTAAAAGAATAATAGGCTACTTACCCTGCAAAGTACTACACAAATCCTAGTGAGGAGCCAGCTGGCAGAAGGAGGTAAATCTTACTACCCGAGGGGAGCCACACAAGTTTCTCAGTGACATTAAAAGCAGTTACACAGAGGCACAGAACAGATTGGTAATACAGTCATAACTGGATGGAGCGTAGCATTTAATTTGAAACTAAAAAGCAGGAGAGATGCCTTCACAGACAACCGTAGGGATTTGGGAATTTATTCTGTAGTCAAAAGCTTGGAAATTTCTCCGAAAGCACTTCAGAAAAGTCACTAGGGCTGCAGCGTGGAGGCCGTATTAGAAGCAGTGGACTGAATGGTTACTGTGGAAATCCAGCAGTGAAGACTAAAACTGCCACGATGGAAAGTGAATAAAGATGTCCCTCTTATGTGATGGCCTATAGTCCATATAGAATTTGCAGAAACTGTTAATTCATATGATTAATTAGATATAATGTTAAGCATAACTACTTGATGGCCAGGTAAGTTTAGCCTATCAAAGTACAATTGGTGTCATAATTCTGGAAAAGAATTGAGATCAGTTTAATGAGATGTTTTTTAAAGGTGGCAAAAATATTGGGAAACAGTATCTACTTTGGTTATTTAAAAGATTAAGAAGTGTAACAGTAAGTCTGGAAGAGGGATCAAGATTAGTATCCTTAAGGTCGTTATATTCAGATGAGACATTATGGTACCAAGTATCTTTTTTTTCTTTAACTTAAATACCTCTAATAAAAGTTCTTGGTAAGAGCTAAAAAAGCCAAACAAGAAGAAATGTAAGGACAGAGAAGATAAACACGGTGTTAATCATACTTCTCTATATTAGTAATCACAACCCTTGAAGGAAAAAGCTCAAAGTTTTCCTGCTGCACTCTTGA